GTACTTAAATACGTACGGATCTTCCCAAAAGAAGTTACGAACCTCCTTTTTAAATTTTTTTTTGTCCGTGGGAGAAAAAGACGAAGGGAGTGTTCCAGTAGCAAGAAAATTAGCAATATCAGCGTACCATGGGGTCCCATAAATTATGAACAGTTGTTCATCGGTAAATTTCTCATTGATCGGCAGTCCATCCTTGTGAAATTCATAAGTTAACCTGGAGAGATGGTCTGTCACCACATTCTTAACACCCTTTTTGTCTTTAATGACCAGGTTAAACTCTTGAAGTAAGAGTATCCATCTTAAGAGACTAGGGTTAGTATCCTTCTTTGTGAGCAAGAATTTTAATGATGCATGATCAGTGAACACAGTAACAGAAGAACCAACAAGATAAGGACAAAATTTTTCCAAAGCAAACACTACCACAAACAATTCTTTTTCAGTTGTTGAATAATTCATTTGAGCATCATTCAAAGTTTTACTTACATAGTAAATGACATATGGTTTCTTATCTTTTCTTTGTTCCATTACAGTACCTACATCATAGTCACTTGCATCACACATTAGTTCAAAGGGTAGAGTCCAGTCAGGAGATTACATTATCAAAGCGGAAATTAACATATCTTTAAGCTTGTTAAAAGCTTTTTGGCATGCTTTACTCCAATCAAGGATTACATCTTGACTCAAGAGATGACACATGAGTTTTACTATGGTACTAAAATCGTTTATGAATCTCCTGTAAAATCCTGCATGTCCCAGAAATGATCGAACATCCATTACAGTCTTGGGAGCAGGCAAGTTCCCAATCAGATATATTTTGGCCTTGTTAACATTCATGCCCTTAGACGACACAATGTGACCTAAGACAATGCCTTGTGTTCCCATGAAATGACATTTATCCCAATTAAGCACCACATTGGTCTCTTTACACCTCATCAAAACTTTTTCTAAGTTGACCAGATACAAATCAAATGAGTCACCATAGACAGAGAAATCATCTATGAATACTTCCAAAAATTTTTTGACCATATCACTGAACAGACTCAACATGTATCGTTGAAATGTTGCAGGAGCATTACAAAGTCCAAACGACATCCTTTTGAATGCAAATGTGCCAAAGAGGCATGTGAATGTGGTTTTCTCCTGATCATTGAGTGCTATCTCAATTTAATTGTACCCAGAATAGCCATATAGGAAATAGTAATATTCATGGCCTGCAATTCTCTCTAGAACCTGGTCTAGAAAGGGAAGAGGGAAATTGTCTTTTTTAGTTACCAAATTGAGCTTTCTATCGTCAATACATATCCGTCATCCTATAACGACTCTAGTTGGTACTAATTCATTGGCTTCATTTTTGACCAATGTGACCCCAAATTCTTTTGGCACAACTTGGGTTGGACTAACCCATTTACTATCGGAGATAAGAAAGATTATCCCTGCATCTAAGAGTTTAAGCACTTTCATTTTCACAACTTCCTTCATGTGAGGGTTCAGTCGTCACTGCATTTGAAGAGAGGGTTTTGAATCCTCTTCCAAGTATATAGCATGATTACAGATTAATGGGCTTATACGTTTCAAATCGGCGATAGTCCATCCAATGGTGCTTTTGTGGCTTTTAAGAACTTCAATCAGTTTAGACTCTTGCAAGTCCGTGAGCTTAGATCAAATTACCATTGGGTACGACTCGTCCTCTCTTAAGAATGCATACTTGAGGTCAGATGAGAGAGGTTTCAATTCAGGCTTTGGTGGCCTGTCACTTGAGGAGAGTGGCTTTGTGCCACTTGGTGAGATTTCTTCAAATTTGGGGGCCCATGTCCCGACATTGAGGGTAGGGCACTCATTTGAGTTTTGTTCTGGAGGATCAAATTAGACAGATTTTAGTAGAGATGATTCAGTGGGGTCCTCACAGAATGTGTCATTAAGATGTTCCTATATCAAGGATTCAATGGAATTTATTTCTCCAACCTCCTGCTCCTTTCTTGGGTGTTTGGCAATATTGAAAATATTCAGCTCAAGAATCATATTCCCAAAGGTTAATATCATGACCCCATTCCTGGAATTGACTAGTGCATTTGAAGTTGCTAGGAAGGGTCGACCAAGAATAACGAGAACTGGATTCTCTGAATGCTTTTCTAGCTGAGCATCTAGGACAATAAAGTCAACAGGGAATACAAAGTTGTCCACTTGGACAAGTATATCTTCAACAATACCCTTAGGAATTTTGACAGATTTATCTGTTAACTGAAGTGTAACACTTGTAGATTTGAGTTCTCCCAGACCCAACTGCTAGTAAATAGAGAATAACAGCAAATTGACACTTGCTCCAAGGTCTAACAGTGCTTGTTCGATTCTGAAATTTTTGATGACACATGACACAGTCGGACACCCTGGATCTTTATATTTTAGAGGGGTTTTGTGTTGAAACAAGACACTGACATGTTCTATCAGGAAGACTCTTTTTTGAACATTCTGGCTTCTCTTGACTGTGCACAAGTCTTTCAAAAACTTGGCATAAGATGGAACCTGTTTGATTGCATCCAAAAGTGGGATATTGATTTTTACTTGCATGAAGAGCTCGTAAATTTTTGCTTGATTATTCATCTTCTGTGCAGTTTTGAGTCTATGAGGAAAAGGAGTAGGAATAGAACACGAGGGTTCTTCTTCCCTTGATGGCTCTGGTTCTTGTTCAATCATGGGCTCGGGTACCTCTTATTTCTCACATTCAGGCTCAATTGGTGGATTGACTGGGGTGACTTAGGTTTTGGCTTTGAAAGTAGCATGTCTTTGATAGTCTTGTCAATCACCTTGCCACTTCTTAGTGTAGTGACAACTTAGGCTTGGTCTTGTAGCATTTCCATGGTTGTGGGATTTTTTACCTGAAATTGGCCTTGTGGTGGTTTTGGTTGGGCAGGAAACTTGCCATTTTCAAGTGTGGTCATGGATTGAGTCAATTTTTGGATGTGGCTTTTAAGATCCTCGAAAGATTGAGTGGTTTGTGTTTTGAATCAGTAAAAGCCTGAGTGAAACTATTGTTATAGTTCATTTGCATAAACTGATTCAAAGTATCCTCAAGGTTCCTCTTTTGTGGAGGTTGGTATGGTTGGTCTGCGGGAGGTCCTTGAGGTGGTGGGTGTGAACCTTGTTGTTGGTTCATGGGAGTTGACTATGTGTTTCTCCAACTGAAGTTCGGGTGGTTCCGCCACCCTGGGTTATATGTTTCAAAGTATGGGTTGGAGTAAGGTTTGTTGAAGTTGGAGAAAAGATTTGTTTGTCCCTAGAGATAAAAGATCAGAGGCCCCTAACTCTCAACTCTAGTCGGACTGTGTTGCCCATCACCGACATTTATATACCAAAGGAATAAAACTAATGATTTTATTTTTAATTAGGTTTTCATTTCCGATAAAAAGACATAATCAAGAAACCTATGAACCCAAACATGCATGCTTCAACTTCCACATCACTCTATAATGGTTAGTTACTTTTTTTGCATTGATTCAATTATTCATGAAGAAAAATTCTCCATTAAGGTTTCACATTTTTGACAGGTAACGTAATTTCGTTTCTATTTTCTCTGCAATGCTCTAAGCCATAGTTTTTAGTTAAGTTCCTATGCAAATAACTTCCTATCCTCCTTGTATGCTCATTTTTTGGTTCTTTTTAGGGGGAGGAGTATAGAGGTACAAAGAATTCATTTAAGGACATTCAAACTTGTGAAGTGCTTCCACCATACCAAGTTGACTTTGTAGGGGGAGGAGTATAGAGGTACAAAGAATTCATTTAAGGACATTCAAACTTGTGAAGTGCTTCCACCATACCAAGTTAACTTTGTACTACAATTAGTAGAAGATTATTTTCTATGACAAAGGTTAGTAAATTGTCATGTTGCTTCTTACCACAACGATAGTACCAGAGTCCAATGTTCCAATATAAAAGAGCATTTCTAATCACTAAAGAACTATAGCTAAGGTCCTGAGGGCATCCCCTTCATAATGGGAATTGTAAGTCTTCAACATAAAACAAATGTAAATATCTCATGCTTCTTAACCAGTAACAGCTCCGGTCTAAAAAGTTGGTATCAGTTTTGAGGTACGACAACGTGAATTGTTCTTTTTCTCATTCTCCTATTGCAAAATCAATTTTGGTTGCCTTTCCTATTTGAAGGATTTGCACAAACCTTCCCTAGATGCATTCCTCAAACTAATAAGACTCAGAATCCGATGCAAATCTGGGTGGCGAGAATAATACAGGTGAACAAGTTGGGATTAAGGATCCAAAAATCTCAATACCAAAATCCTTTCTTGCCTTCATTTTATTTTACTGATTACAACAGACAATTATCAAATGAAAGCATAAATGAAAAGGGGGAAAAAACAAAGAGGTAGTAGCATTGCAAAGATAAGAACCAAAAAATGAAATGGTTCAGACAGTTACCAACTGCATGTGACAAAGAGATCAGAACATCAGTTGCTGAAGGAAATGGGCCGAATATAATGACAGGATATGATGATGGAGCTACAAGCTTTACAGTTGATTTTTGCCGCAAATCAATCTACATAAAAACAAAAATGATCAACGACGACAAATATATGGAATAAATCAGAAAGCGTGAATACCTCACAGCGTTTTGTTGTATCTGCTAGAACCCCTAGTGCCTCTCCATTTGGAAGAACAGCTAGTACCCAAGGATGTGACTGGTACAATGATGTAGTTCCAGGACCATAACCCCATGCGGCTGTGTTCCAGGTAAAAACCTATAAACAATGTAATTGGTTAATTCAGGAAGATTATAGACAAGAAAAAATTCATTGATGACAATGCAAACTGACTCTTTTCCCTGTCCGTTCAAGCTGTCCACTAACTTCTCCTGTTCCATAGAATGAGGTACCCGAAGGAAGCTAGATGAAAACCAAATTTAATCGCATTAACAAAATATATAAGATACGCAGGCACATATTGAAGGAAATACAATATGCTAACGGAAAAAGATAGACAGTGATATCTAACTAACTGACCTGAAGATTAACAATTTGTTGTCCAAGCACACACTCAAAAGTAGGAGTGAATGATGGAGCTTTGTCGGTAGTCATAATTGGTGTCTCTCTATCTTTAGGGTTAACAAAAGAAAGACTAGGCAAAGCCACATTTCTATCATCCGCAGAACAGTCAAACCTCAAGACCCCTTCCTCTAGAATAGGCTCGAAAACCATGTTTCCTGATTTCACATCTGAAGTCACAGTCATCCGTTCATATCCCGCCATCTTAGACACAACTAATCTTTCCCCACTCAACCTCTTGTTGACCCTCTTTGGCCTCTCCTTTCTGCCTATCAAAAGATAAATGTCATGAAACCCTCCAACTCTCTTTGGCCTCTCCTTTCTGCCTATCAAAAGATAAATGTCATGAAACCCTCCAACTCATGTAATTGCAGGGAAAATTACATAATTCAGGCACAGGAGAAAATTAGATTGGTCACAACAAAACCTAAAACATCTGACGTAATGTATTCAAAAGTGCAAGACATATAACACCACTCTTTCAATAAAACTATCATTGCAACTAAAACCCGTTTCTCTTATGAATTCGCCTGATCCTAAATTAGGACACGAATACCTATCTTTCCCAGAGTGTATACAAAAAAACTTAAGAGACAGTTCAAATCCCAACATCACGTGAACAACAAAAAGTTCACCAATAAGTCCCGGTGGGACTCTAGGTGGCTCCTTAGCCTCCGGATTGACACGTGAAATAATGAAACTGTTGAAATATCCAATGGGTGCCGAGGAGATAAGCCGAGATATGATGACCCGGAGTCGCTGAAAACTACAGCTGACATCGTATATAATGCGATGTAACCTCATATTTATGGCATTATGAGTGACAGTGACAGTGACAAGACAAATAAATACGCGTCTGCCAGCACCTGCTCCTTGGGAGTCTAAGTCTATTGTCATAATGGCTGATGCGCCGAGAAGATGCGATCGGCTCTCCCGAAGAACTGTTTCCCCCGAGTATTCAATGCTCAGTCGATGTCGGATGCCAATCTGGGGGATTTGGGTACTCAGGGAATGGCATAAATGCTCGGCATTTGACCGAGCATTTATCCCATTTTCCTAGCATTCAATAGGAGGGGACATGAGTAGAAAACAATCATTGCACGAGGAATGGTGTGTCAGATGTAAGATGTCCAGATGGGACTTGAGATCTTTGGCAATCATTGTTAATTCAGATATAAATACTCTCACAAAAATGGACAAAAAGTACTCAAACTTGAACCAGAAAAATAGTCTATTGAGCAAAACCCTTCGACCTTATACTAACTTAAGTTTCGGAGGGGATTAGCCGGGCACTCGTCAGGCCCCCTTTTTTCTGACCATGTTGTTTCAGGTTCGCTAGTTTGGAGATCGATGTTTTATACTATTGTAGGTATTATCCCATGCAATTTGGCACCATCTATGGGAACAAAGGTATTTTTCCCAATAACGATCATTTGATGGTGAACACTCGATCTCAGGGTGAGGGAGAAGGTGTACGGGCCAGGAACGCAGAGCCCGTCCGACTTCCAATGGTTCTGGAGCCGGGTTCATTGGGCCAATCAGATGGGGTGGGGCAATCTTTACAAAGAACGCTCCTTATGGATCAAGGCCTTGGGGGCCGTGACCTCATGACCCATAGCATCGTTGAGATAGTGGAAAAGCGGATGGGCAAATGCATTGAGCAGCTTAAAAGAGAGAATGCCAAAGTCCCCCTGGCACTGGCCTTCTAGGAAAGATTGGATTAGGCACTTGTCCAAGGGGCGTCGCCGCCACGGAGGGATCTCGGCCTCCGAGGGGAAGTCAGAGTCAGACCAGAAGGAAAGTCTGTCCAGGTGGGACCTGCGCCGAGGGATACTCGAGAGCGTCGGAGCCGCCAAATCACAAGCAAAATTCATACCCCGAAGGCCTCGAGAAAGATCAAAACAGGATCCCCAAGTCTCCATCATTGCTTAACGCAGCCGTGAGCCCGAGGTTTACTCCGACGAAGTCATCTCACCATTCGTCTGGGCTATCAGGGAGGCCGAGATGCCGAAGAAGTTTACCATCCCTCGATTCAAAGTGTACGATGGGAAAACCGATCCCGAGAGCCACCTTCGGCAATTCAGACAACTAATGTCAATCTATGATACTGACCAAAGGGTGTTATGTCAAGTTTTTTCCATGAGCCTAGGGGACACGGGCATGAGGTGGTATAAGAACCTCACTCCTGAGAGCGTTAGGTCCTAGAAACAATTGACGGAGCTCTTCATAGCTCGATTCATCACCAGCAATAAAAATTGAAGGACATCAACGCTCTGTTGACGCTTAGGCAGAAAGGGGGAGAGACACTCCGACAATATGTCATCCGGTACTAGGATGAGGTAAATGAGGTGGAGGCTTGTTTGGAGGCATTGGTTGCGGCATCATTTAGGCTAGGGCAGTCCTAGGACACTGATTTGTACAAATTGCTGACCAAGAAAGCTTCGGCGGACATAAAAGACTTAATGGCCCGGATTAACAAATATGCCCGGGTGGAAGAAGAATCCATCGCGCCTGAGAGCAGGGTCGCGGTGCCAAGGAAAAGGGAGAAGGAGCAATCGGCTTAAAAGGGAGGGCCTGTTCCACCGCCAACTCGCCTATCCTTCCAGGGAGTGAACACGGTCTTCGATGAGCCCATCCACAAGATGCTTCCTAAAATCAAAAATAAACCCTACTTCAAGTGGCCCCCGAGGATGTTTGGAGACCCGTCGACAAGGAATCCGGCCTTCTGATGTTCGTATGATAAAGATATCGCCCATTTGAAGGAGGATTGCAAGCCTTATAAATCCTTCCTTGAACAATTGGTGCGAGACGAACACCTCGAGGAATTCATCGACAAGGGTCATCACGGTAGGTTAGCAAGGGAACGAGTCGAGGTGCCAGCTGAGGTAGCACCTGTGATTGATGTTATTCATGCCTGCACAGTGGAAAGGCCTACATATAACTCTTTCCATGCCGAGTTGCAAAGGGTCTCTCAAGCAGTCATGGTGGATGAAAGAGGTGATGGGCGGCCGCCCAACAAGCCGCAGAGTGGTGCCGAGGTTATTCAGTTTTCTGATGCTGACCTCGGCGGGGTAGCCCACCCCCACAAGGATGCATTGGTGATCACTTTGCGGGTCGAGAAGTTCGACGTTAAGAGGATCTTAGTGGACTCAGGTAGTTCCTATGAGGTAATGTACGATCACCTCTTCCGCAAAATGCGACTCTCTTAGAAGGATCTGGAACCTGTTAAAACCCCCCTCATTGGCTTCAACGGTTCCAACGCCCTGCCCCTTGAAAAAATCACCCTCATGGTATGGCGCGGGGGTGGTGACCACGCCAGTGAAATTTGTGGTGGTGGATTTCGACTCCCCTTACAACGCTATTTATGGGGAGATCATGGTTACATGTAATAAAGGCGGTTCACTCATCTTTTCACCAGAAGATAAAGTTCCCAATGCCGCAGGGCACAAATGGAAATTTGGGGTGATTAGGCGTCGACGAAAAGTTATTTCTATGCCGCGGTGAAAACGGGAGTCAGCGGCTACAGTCAGGAGCGTGATCCCGATGCAGTGGTTGCCAAATAGCAATCACAGAACGATCGTCCGGGAGTGGACGAGCCCATCGCAGAGCCAGCCGACCGATCTACTGAGGCCTTGGTGAAGATTCTCCTGATCCCAGATAGCGATGAGAAATACTTTTTGATAGGGGAATCACTCAGCGACACAGAGAGAAATGACATGGCCTCATTTTTATGCCACAATGCCGATGTTTTTGCGTGGACCCAAGCCGAGATGACAGGGATAAGCGCCGAGGTGATGACTCATTGGCTCTATGTGAATCCCTCATTCAAACCCGTTAGACAAAAGGGCCGGAGAACGGCACTTCATCACGCGAAGGTTGTGGATGAAGAGCTGGATAAGTTGTTGGGGGCAGGTTCCATCAAGGAGGTACAGTTCCCCCAGTGGCTATCCAATACTGTGTGCGCCAATAAGAAGGAAGGAAAATGACGAGTTTGCGTGGATTTCACGGACCTAAACAAGGTTTGCCCCAAGGACGAGTACCCCTTGCCCAAGGTTGATCAGTTGGTAGACGCCACAGGCGCATCACCTTCATGGATGCTCGGGCTGAATATCACCAGATTCCCCTGCATAAATCAGATCAGGAGAAAACGACGTTCATCACGCCCCGGGGAATCTACTGTTATACAGTAATGCCTTTTGGGTTAAAGAATGCTGGGGCGACTTATCAACGGTTGATGAACAAAATTTTTAAAGACCAGCTCGGCGAAACGATGGAGGTGTACATTGATGACATGTTGGTCAAAGCAAAGAGGAGGCCGACCATTTCCATGATCTCAGCACGACATTCACCATTCTCTGGAAGTATGGCCTAAAACTAAACCCCTTGAAATGCGCATTTGGAGTGAGCTTAGGAAAGTTTTTGGGGTATTTGGTTACTCATTAGGGGATCGAGGTGAACCCCGAGCAGATACAAGCAATCCAGAATGTCCGGGCGCCTAAGACCGTTAAGGATGTTCAAAAATTGGCTGGGATGTTAGCAGCCCTTAACAGATTTATTTCTAAGTCGTCCGATAAGTGCAAACCATTGTTTACCAAGTTGAGGGGGGTAGCTAAGGGGGTTTGGGACGAGGAATGCGCCCGAGCTCTTGAAGGGATCAAAGAGTACTTGAAACATCCTCCGACTTTATCTGTTCCAGCGGCAGGGGAGGTACTAAGCCTTCACTTGTTCGTATCTCAAGACTCCATGAGTGGAGCCTTGGTCAGGGATAGCAAAGGGACCCAGAGACCCGTGTATTTCATAAGCAAGACCTTGCTTGATGTCGAGACAAGGTACTCTCCAAGGGAGAAATTAGTTTTGGTGTTGGTAATCTCGGCGAGAAACTTCGACACTACTTCCAGGCTCACGCCATAGACGTCCTTACAGACCGACCTCTCAAGCCAATCCTTCACTAAGCCAATATGTCTGGGAGGATTGCCAAATGGGCTGTAGAGCTCGGAGAGTTTAAAATCAGGTATAAGCCTCAAACATCAATCAAAGGACAAGTCCTGGCGGACTTTGTCGCCGAGTTCTCTACGTCCGAGCCCCCACCAACGTCATAGGATCTAATAGGGGATATTTGGGATCTTCATGCTGATGGATCCTCAAACGCAAGGGGGGCAGGGATAGGTATTGTGCTAGTCAACTCAGAAGGGTTCATCATTGAAAGGGCAATCAGATTAAAATTCAAGGCATCCAATAACGAAGTCGAGTATTAGGCGTTGTTGGCAGGACTGGATGTCGCATGCTCGATTGGGGTGAGACACCTTCGGATCTTTTGCGATT